AAAGTTGCCCTAATCAAACAATATTAACATATTGTGTTGCATACTGGCTTGCCCTCCATTGAACCTCACCATTGGTCGGTGGCACTTCTCTTTACTCTCAGGAGCTTATAGTGAGATGTAGGAGGAAGGAATGGGTGGGTTGAACCTCAATCTTTTATACTGAAGTCAAGATTTGCATAAAAGAGAATCTATGTTTTGGGGCTGATTCGGCACTTAAAGTTTAGAAGATGACAAATTAATAATTATACAGACACAGCAGGTTTGTTGTAAAGGAAACCTATTAGTACCAAATTCTACCCAAACTGGCAACATAAATGAAATGCAGGAACATACTTTACAAATCAAGCTCCCTGGGAGCTCTAGAACTTATAGGCAAACCTCATAATGGAAAGCGGAGTTATGGCCTACCTTCTCAACTCCTTACTGATCCTTTGTTGCAATGGCCAACCAATGTTTCTTACTATTGTAACACTACCCCCTTAGGAGTCACTGAGTTTTGAGCCCCCATATAGTCCTACACAGCCAGGCAAAACACATTTTCTCAAATTTGCATTCCAGAGACAGTGAACAGTCCTTGAGCTTGGTTTTTATGTTTTATTAAGGGTGTTGAACTTGGATAGGGTAAGAAGTGTATGGGATGCCCAAGGAACAGTAAACTGAGAACAACTGCTTAGCAACTATGTATAAGTCCAAGGACAGAGAATTCTCTTCTAGGAGAGCTCTCCAGCCTCTTCTTTTGTATTACCCTCCTCTTTTCCAGCTGTCTGGAGGAATCCCTGGGCAAAGGGATCCAGTGGCAGCTACTTTTAAGGATTAACAGTCCTGGGTATGGAGCTAGTCAGGTTTACTACCAGAATGCTCTCCACCGTTTACTAACCCGGGGGGTGTAGGATTACTCATTCAGTCCTTGCCTGTGAGCTGGTTGGGTTATTGTGGCTGCCTTCAGGCCTTCTGCTGGGCTGGCTCCTTCCCCGACTCTGCAAATGGTCCTCCCTCCTGGGACTGAGTGATCCTCCTTTCCAGGTCCCAGTCTGTAGGTAGGCCCCTTTCCACTGGTCCCCCTCCCAGGCTCCTGCATCTCAGCCTTCCTCACATCTTCCACCTGAACTCTCCTGCTGCTGAGCAGGCTCAATCATACTTAAGGGCTGCCCTGACCCTATGCCATGCCTCCTGCCTGGGGATTGGTCAGGATAACCTAAGTATGCAGATCAGCCCCTCCTCACCCCTGTTCACTGCTTCTAGAATTTTATTCAAGTTTCAAGAGCAGGGGGAGGTATAAAGGAAACTGACATGCAGAGCCTCTCTGCCCTGACCTAAAACTGACCCTCTGACTCATCCCAGGCTACTACTCAGCCTTTCTAGCTAAAAAAAAAAAAACTTGCTAGCTCCCCCTAGCTAACTAGAGGGGAACTACACTATCAGGTATTCATAACCCCAAATCCTACAGCTCTGAAATATTATTAAAATCTATTGCTTGTGTGTAGCCAAGACCTGAGTTGGCATGCCGAAGCACATGCAATGGTATTCGCCAGGCACAATAAATTAAGACCTCCCTATCTTAACACATTATCATTTTGCCTGCTGCAATTATTGTTTTACTTCACTTTTAGAATCTACAGCTTTGTAATTAGTATGCGCTATCAGACATGAATCATCCTGGCTGCGTCTTCATAAACATGTCTGCAGTATAAAAGATACACTTGGGGTTTTTTTTTAAGACCACAGTGAAGTGACCTTTCCCAGCCTGAGAAACGGATATGAAGAGGTCTAACATAACGTGGATGTTATGTTCCTGGTTCACATCATGGACTTTATCATCAGCTGCTCCTGCTTTCTATGCCAGTCCAAGAACTACAAACTGGAAGGATGTGTATACTGCAAAGGTAGGTTCTAACTAACAAAAAGTGACACGGCCTTTTATATACTGTCTAGGTATACATTTGTAATGTACATAGTGTTTAAGACAAGTACGAAAATTAAAATAACAGCATAAATACTAATTGACCCTATATGCAAATTATAAAATAGAAAAGATAATAAGCATACAAATTTTAAGACTCTAACATTAATTTTACAACCATATAAAACATAATTTTTCTAGGGAAAAATACAAACCCACCTCTTAGTACAGCAATGCCTTCATTAAAGAAAAAAAAAACAATAAAAATATTTTAAAATACTGCTAGAATAGCTAAATAAAGTCTATTTTCATATTATCATCCTGAAATTCCACACAAAGTAGAAAGCAGATTCAGTTTGAATAATGCTGTATACTGAGCCAACCAAGCTCCAAATGCACTTTTCTATGTTTTTCAGGCACTGATACCCGTAAGGGGGGTGTTTAGGCAGTTTATATGAGTAGGAAAGTGAAATGAGATCATCAGAAGCCTCGTGAGGGTATTTCGCAGTCTATTTAGCAGGAAGGTAATATAGGAAGCTGCAAAAAAAAAAAAAAAATGGACCCTGAAAAACAAAAACTGCTGTTTTAAAGTTAGTGGCATACTGCATCATACTGTATATGTTTTGTTTTTTTTAATTTTGCCCACAGTTCAAATTTACAACAATTTATAAACAAGGATAATCAATGTTGGTTCTACACTTTATTTTGGTTAATATAATATTGATGTATTTTAGGAATGTGATATCTTAAAGTCAATTCTATCAAGATATGGAGCCAAATCATAATTGTTTTGACTTTTTGCTGACTGTGTGCTCATGATGTATTTTGCATTTCCATGAACTTATATATGCTTTTCCAATTTGTTACCTGATATTGAACATTGAAAACACAACCCTTCATGCTGTTTTATATCTTCAAAGTTTTCACAAGGGCTCTATAACTTTATTCAATCTGCTTAATTCTACAAATGATATTGAAGTTAATGTCCCCTTAATAGGCTGGTTCCCTTACTTACAGAAATACATGAATTCATTGATATATCTATCAGAGAAAAAATATTTATGCAAGGGGATTTTTGAGTTTATATAATGCAAGAACAAAGTTTAAGGAGTGGAAACTGCATTTATTTTCAACATTCTCCCTTGCTACATCTATACACTTATCCCAGCATTTAATGCCTGGAAAGACTCAGCATAGAAAGATTTGTCAGTATGCCTAAACCATCCTAGGGCAGCCGGCTTCACTTTGTCATCAGTGCTGAAATGCTGACCACAGAAGGATTCGTCTCTTGTACAATTTCTTGACAGATTATGCGCCAATTATTCAGGATCAGGCGTTCAATGCACTGATTGTTCACAGGAACGACTGCTGTGGGCTGGGAACCACCACGGCCGGGAGACGTATGGCTGGCTTTGAAACATTACACCATTCAAATGTCTTACTGCGGATGAGCGTCTCATCACCATACTGTGCTTGAAGTCTCTCTGTAGATAAGCGGATTTTATGCTTTCGTTCACAAGAAACTTCATGACCACATGCTGTTCCATGCATACACCAACACTGTTGTCTGCCATCTTGATTAACAGTCTCTGGACTTGACCGTGACATGTGTGCCGCTTATCAGTAATAGGACAAACTTGCGACTTAATTCTGCGTGTAGTATCTCCACACTAGCATCCCTTTTTATACCTGTAAAATGAAAAGTCCCGATTTGACTTAAACGGTTTGACTTAACCTCGTACATATGTATTATTGCACATACAGGTTTGAAGCAGAGCTCCACCCAAAAGGGGAAGTTGCACTTTAGGCCTTTGTCCTCCGCTTCCCACTAAGGATTGGTACCTTTGGGGAGTGGGGGGGTACCCAAATTAGACATGTATCCGCTCCCACTTCCGCTGCGATCGCCTAGGGATCGGAAGCGTCAGTCATCCTCCCCCCCCTCCCTCCCCGTAGTCTTCTGGGACACGTGACAGGTCCCAGAAGACTACAGGGCCATTCAGAAAGCACAGCGCTTATCGTGCATGCACAGTGGACACCTTGGCAGAAGTCTTCAGCAAATCAAATTTCACCAGCACATTGAATGCTCAATAAAGAAATAAAGCAATGTTTCTGAGCACATGGCCCCTTTATATGTCACTGTTTACAATCTTGGTAGAGGCAGGATTTTACCTTTTTCTATCAGAGTGTGATATAATCAAATCTAACTAAATGTCCTGAAACTAGAATTCAGAGGCAGTAGTACCTTAGATCTCACTCTGCAGATATACAGCCTTGAGGCTATAGGCATAGGAGTGTCTATTTTAAGAATACAAAAATGCATGCATTATTATTATTATTATTATTATACAGTATTTATAAAGCGCCAATAGTTCGCTCAGCGCTGTACATTACAGAGGGGGACAGAACATGTGACAGAACAATACCAATACAATGCAAAACATGAGGGGATTGAGGGCCCTGCTCTTTCGAGCTTACAATCTAGGAGGGAGGGGACATTAAATACATACATTAAGAATCTGAGTAAGTATCATGACAATTAACTATCACAATGCATTAATAATATAATTTCAGACATTCTTAAAATAGGATCTAATTTTAAACATATTGCTTATTTTTGCTTTATTTGTAAAGGTCATCAGACTTATAAAACATTACACCTCTTGCTTAGATCTAAACTGAATTCTAGTTCCCAACCTGGAACTCAGGCAGGTTCTAGTAGGAAGTCTACCTGGGCAGAATAATACACTCACCACTCCTTATGTTTGGAAGTCATTAAATGGTAGCTCCCCCCTGACTCCCCGAGGCATGGTGGTACCTCCAGTGGTAGGGGTGGGCTGATCACGGGATACGGTAAAAGGCCATATCCATCAATAATTAAGAAAGATTATAGTATCAAGCCCAATTGCATAGCTTTTTCAGGTCTCAAATTCTTCATAATAAATTTTAATCTGGGTACAAATAACTGCCAACACACAAACGTTAACTGCTATCCACAGTATTCCCTACTTGTCAATGTTAAATGTGATATTTATGTTATTGTCAATTGTAGAAATACCTCGATAAATATTATGGTGATGAAAGAAGAACTCCCATAGCTGAAATGGTGACGGATGACATTCTGATGTTTAGAAAAATCAAGAAAATGCAAAAGTTTTTTGGTTTACATGTGACAGGAAAACTGGACTATTCAACCCTATCAATAATGAAGAAACCACGCTGTGGCATGCCAGATATAGCCAATTATCATCTCTTTCCTGGAGAACCCAAGTGGCCTAAGAATACTCTAACATACAGGTGATTATTGTAGAAGGAGGAAAAGATTCAAAATGTGCAACCTTACTCACAATTGTCCTTCTTTCAGCAGACAGACCCTATTATTTATACCATGAACTTGTGTGATCAGGCAAAACTCCATGAGGGGCAGCATAAAGTTGGCTGATTACAACCAATGTTTTAAAGCACAATCAGGCCAAGCTGGGAATGGTCAAAGCCCCATTAAATTTTTATTGCTGTATGTGTCCTTAATTGGGAGATTCCCCTCATTTCCTGCCAGGGGGACACAGACAAAAAAATTTTTTAAATAGATTGACAAAAATTTAGAATGTCTGACAATGTTTTTACTGCTGCTTGGACCTTTGTGTTACTGGTAAAAATGGTTTCTCCACTTTCATGTATGGAACTTTTAGGCATTAAAACTGCAAATTCATTGTTTTGTCCTGCACTGTCACCCACAGCCAATATAGAAAGGTGCTGGCCAACTGTGGCACCGTTAGGGTTGCCACCTCATCCCTTTCTTTAAAACCGAACACATTATAATTATACAGCTTCTGTGTCTGATTAAGGTGGTAATTAAATGCACTGAGTGCCTTATCTGCAATTAATTAGACACAGAACCTGTGTAATTAATACGTGTTCGGTTTTAAAGGGATGAGGTGGCAACCCTAGGCACCATAGAAATCCAAAGTCAGAAAATAACTAGCAATCCAAAATGTAGAGAAGAAAACTAGGAAAAAGTTAACTGAAATCACAAAGAAAGAAACGATATGGAGTCACACAGGCGTCCATTATCAAGGTGACGAGACATAGCACTATGTCTCATCAATTTGATAAAGGAGGCCTGCATGCCTCTGCACCATTGCTTTCAATGGGATTTTTGCATTTTTTTTTCTTCTCTGCATTTTGGAATGCTGGCTATTTTCTGTCTCTAAAAATTAAAACTTGACTAAGCTTGTAATTCTCCCACACTACCTACTGCATATCCAATTAAAAAAAAAACATAATTCTGGAGTTAAGCCTTAAAACATTAAAATATTTGTACTGGGTGTGCTGATATAATACGTTTCTAGAACATTAATTTCAGCATTGAATTATTGCTCCCACCTAATATTTGAAGCTTTGCTGTACAATTTTGCTGTTGAATACTTACTAAGCTTTGAAGCAAAAAAGTATGGTTAAGGAGAACCATAAACAATCAATATACAGTAGGTATCTGCTGTGATATATATGTCTTCATTTAAACCTTTCATGCCAGATCCGTCTTTGCATTTTTACATGTGTTAAAATGCCTGAAGATTAGGCCCAAAGATTAGAGAAAATCTCCAAGCATTATGCACTGTATTCAGAAAGCAGAGACCCTAGAAAATAAAATGGGGGCTATTGCAATTTTTTTAATATCACATTATTTTAGTTGATTGAAGTGCAAACAAACACAATTTACTTCTCAACTTTTTGGTAAAATGTAAAATATGAGGTTGCATCGAGTAAATATATACCCAACATTTCAAGACTTAAAATTGTATGCGCCCATCAAACAGCAACAAACTTTGGTACCCAAAATCGTGTATATGCAATTCTTTTAAAGCCCTTCCAGGTCTCAGTGTAGAGTAAATTGTGGTATGATGGCCCTAGAATTATTGCTCTCATGCCAGCATCTATAGTGAGATGTGATATGTTTAGTGCAATCATCGTTTCATATGTAGGCACCAGCAATGCACCCTTTTATGTATGTAGATGCATGTATGCGGGGGCAGGGGTTTTTACAAATGTTTTTGTTTTATTTGTAACAATACATTTTTTTAACATGAAGACAAACAAAAAAGTACCTCTTTATTGATCCTATGTGATATCAGACAACATGACATGTAATGAACTGTTGCAGATCATATAAAACAGCTTTTCAGGCTACAATATGCGACAGAAAAATAGCAACCTTCTTACACAAGATGCGACTCTCTGTGACCAAATCTAAACCAGGTAGCATAAGAAGGCTTCGGCTCTGCTCTCCACCCACAGAAGAGGTCCCGCTGACACATTTCGCCCCTAGTTGGCTGTCTCAAAGATGACACCCACTAGGAGATGAAACGTGTCTGCAGAACCTCTCCTGTGGGTGTTTTTTTTTCTGTAATAAATGTTTTAGCTCTTTATTTACCTTTGTTTATTGCTATCACATGGGGGACCTACAGCTCCCTATGTGATAGCGTATTTACAGTGGCAGGTTCTCCTTAATGATACACCTCGGGCCAATTAGACCCATGATATCTCCCCTCCACTCTACTGAAGCTAATGGAGCACAGGTCCTGTTCCATTAGCTGCTTACTCAGCCAGTGTTCCTGGAAGGTCTGAATCAAGGAATGGACATAATAAACATTGTTCCCTCATTCATTCATCGGAGAGAGAATCAGTAAATGGAAGTTCATTGAGCTTCCTCCATTTTACCCAGCTATACCTTCCATGCAGATCCTGGGCCCATAGGTAGGACACAGGAGTCTGGGATACATGGTGGGAAGGGTATCTTCAGGTGCTTGTGGAAGTGATTGGGCGGCTGTGAAATCTCTTCCACCAGAAAGCCTCCAGTCAGCTTGTAAAGTAAACACACCTATTCTTGTAGCTGAGAGTGTGTGTAAAAGCTTTCACTGCCACTGACATACGCCTTATATTGGTAGCAGCGAAATTGTTAAAGCCAAACTTCAGGTTCACCACCCACCCTGTGTTTGCTCCCCTCCTACCATTGAATCATTTCTGTAGCTGATATGCATACCTTTTTTGATAGATGTCTTCAATCTGATCCATTGACGTCACAAGTTCTTTTCACCCTTTTCTATCTCTGAAAGTAGGCAGGTCCTAATTGTTGAGAGTAGCATCACAAAATTACATGGCACTGTTCTCTGCATCATTCTGCCGTGAGTCCAGGGTAGGGGGTGAAGTGACCTTGATGAAAGATGAACAGTCCCTGGATCAGTAAATGGCTGAGTCTTCAGGGGAATATAACAATCAAAACTAATTTTTATTTTAAAGAGCTGTTGGGGATCCATTTTTGTCCAGCCTGAAGTTGGTCTTTAATATATTTTCATTTTTCTGTGATTTTTTCATTAATGGGATATTTAAAACTAATCTTAGACAGTTATCATTGTAACTGATATCCTCACTGGAAGATTTCCCCTCACCTCTTGTTCATGGGACAACTGTAAGATTTATGATTTCCCATTTCTCTGTCTCAGAGACAATGGTCACCAGTGTAGCGCTTACCCCCGCAGGAGACGCTGAAATTAACAGGCACTTCTGTCCTTACTTCAGTAATGAACCATATATACAGTGGGGATCGAAAGTTTGGGCACCCCAGCTAAAAATTTGTATTAATGTGCATAAAGAAGCCAAGGAAAGATGGAAAAATCTCCAAAAGGCATCAAATTACAGATTAGACATTCTTATAATATGTCAACAAAAGTTAGATTTAATTCCATCATTTACACTTTCAAAATAACAGAAAACAAAAAAATGGCGTCTTCAAAAGTTTGGGCACCCTGAAGAGTTAATATCTTGTACTGCCCCCTTTGGCAAATATCACAGCTTGTAAACGCTTTTTGTAGCCAGCCAAGAGTCTTTCAATTCTTGTTTGAGGTACCTTTGCCCATTCTTCCTTACAAAAGTCTTCCAGTTCTTTGAGATTTCTGGGCTGTCTGTCACGCACTGCTCTTTTAAGGTCTATCCATAGATTTTCAAATATGTTGAGGTCAGGAGATTGTGAAGGCCATGGCAAAACCTTCAGTTTACGCCTCTTGATGTAATCCCCCGTGGATTTTGAGGTGTGTTTAGGATCATTATCCATTTGTAGAAGCCATCCTCTCTTTAACTTCAGCTTTTTCACAGATGGCATCAAGTTACCATCCAAAATTTGCTGAAATTTTATTGAATCCATTTTTCCTTCTACTCGTGAGATGTTCCCTGTGCCACTGGCTGCAACACAACCCCAAAGCATGATTGATCCAACCCCATGCTTAACAGTTGGACAGAGCTTCTTTTCATTAAATTCTGTGCCCCTTCTTCTCCAAACGTACCTTTGCTCATTCCGGACAAAAAGTTCAATTTTAACCTCATCGGTCCACAGAACTTGTTTCCAAAATGCATCAAGCTTGTCTATATGTTCATTTGCAAAGTTCAAACGATGATTTTTGTGGTGAGGACGAAGGAAGAGGTTTTCTTCTGATGACTCTTCCATGAAGACCATATTTGTACAAGTATCTCTTTATAGTGGAATAGTGTACCACAACTTCAGTGTCTGCCAGATCTTTCTGGAGGGATCGTGCAGTCAAACGTGGGTTTTGAATTGTTTTTCTCACAATCCTGCGAGTTGTTCTGTCTGATATTTTTCTTGGTCTTCCAGATCTTGCTTTAACTTCCACTGTTCCTGATGACTGCCATTTCTTAATTACATTCCGAACAGAGGATATTACTATCTGAAAACGCTTTGCTATCTTCTTATAGCCTTCTCCAGCTTTGTGAGTGTCAACTATTTTCAGTTTCAGTTTTCTAGACAACTGCTTAGAAGAACCCATGGTGTCCCCTACTGACCCCGGGCCCTCGGGCAGTGCTACTTAAATCTTTGGGTCCTCCCAAAGGATAACTGTGTATATACAAATTTCAACAGTTTTGCAAAAATTACACATGAACATTTCAAATTATACACCCTTTCTTTGAGAAGGTAGACTCGATTTGCGCCACCTCTTAACAAATGACGTGGGTAGGGAGAAATTCCACTAAGGTGTGCTGATGGCCTGGGGAGGACTCAAGAACTTTGATACGTCTATGGACAGGGTAGACACCTCAGGTGATCTTTGCACAGTAGTTACAGCTTCTTCTGTGCTATTACCGGATAAGTCGTAAGTGAGTCTCTGAGGAGGTTGCACCGATCGCTTAGACCTTGATTCTAGAAGCCATAAGGGACCTTCATCTGCAGAATCATTTTCTAGTTGAAGTATAGGTTGAGGGGACTCAATTCTCTCTTCTTCTGAGCTGAT